TACTCAACATAATTAATATAAAATAAAGTAATGTAACCAGCAATCTTGTGTAAATTGAAATAAAAACATCCAAATTTTTATTCGAAAAACTATTCATCTATAGTTTACTTTAATTATTTGCATTTCTCACATGTATTTTTTTAGTTATGGACATAATACGTATTGTTTTTAGAATAAATTAATAATAAAACAGATTTTTTTCATATAAAGGCTGAACAAGTACATAAGATTAAATTATGTTTAGACTTAGAATTTCCTTTTCAAACTTTCAAATATTTTCTCATTTAGCAGTCAGGTCTTCTACAAAGCAAAACCTAAAACCCAATACCCAATGAATCACACACAATAATTGATATATACATCTCATTTGTTATGCCAAGATAAGCATAGTTGATTTAACGTACATGTCGCTTGGATAATTATTTATGAATCTATAGATTTGTACTGAAATTGTGTTTGTGTACAAAAAATATACCCAAAAATTTAAATATGAATCCCAGCACAATATTACTGTGACTAAAAACAATCTATCTTCAATACAGCTTAGTAACAATAGCATTGATAGATGGCTAGGGGATACTGGATACAATAGACAATTGACCAATGTACATGTGTTTATATCTTCCTTTTACATGAAAGATTTACTTCAGTTAACATCGTTCTGCATACTTTACAGTTAAAAAAATATATAACTAAGATTTTCTAGCCCTTTCTCTTTGTACACTAGTTAAGATAAAGTAATATTTTTTTAGATATTGTATATTTAACTCAGGAGGAATTAATAAGCTCATAGTAATTTATTTATTTTTCGTGAAGAATGTTTGATAAAGTTTTTTATTCGGTTAACTAAAAAAATGACCACAAAAATTGTTTTAAAAAATATTCACTGCAATTTATACGTAATCACTTTTTCTTACTATCTGTCAATAAAGTTTAAAATGGATTGAATCATTAAATAAAGATAATTTTAATTTAACGAGAAAAATGTATTCTATTGTCGAAATGAAAATTTAAACTATTGAGATGACTTAGTGCTAAATTTTTCGAATTAAATATTTAGAATTCCGTAAGGCTTTATATTATTTTTGAAAACTGAAAATGTGATTAATATAATATATATACTTGTATAATAATAAACCGTTCATACATTTATAAATTCAAAAAGGATCAAGCAACTTCTTGCTAAGTTTTTTTTATCCCGCATAATTAGCTTCAGATTCTCCTTCAACATAATTTTCTATATATCTTATTAAGGACTAGCTTTTACCGCGGCTTCGTCCGCGTGGAATAGTTACTTCCGACAGATTTTTGGTTTTTCCCACATAGTTCCCGTTCTTGCGGGGTTTTCGGAATGGTCGAGTTCCCGTAGAATTTTCAGGATGAAACCTATGTTTTTTTTATTAATAATGAAGTACTCTTAACCAACAACATATTTATTTGTTTATATGAATAAAGATTAATATTATTATTTTGATAAAACTTAATCAAATTATTTCGACAAAATTAGGTACCATAAAAAGGGTTTTTGTGAGTTAATCTTAAAAGATAGACATATACTGTCGCGGACTGTTTTTTAGATCATTAAGAGAGCTATTATTCTTTAACACATATTTTTTGTGTATCTTGAACCGTTTTCACGGCGCACGCAACGGAAGGCTTCAAAGATGAAATAATTTCTCCCGTTTTTTACACATTTACCACTATATCTTTGCTCCTATTGGTCGTAGCGTGATGTTATATAGCCTACAGCCTTCCTCGATAACTGGACTATCCAACACAAAAAGAATTATTAAATTCGAACCAGTAGTTTCGGAGATTAGTGCTTTCAAACAAACAAACAAACAAACTCTTCAGCTTTATAATATTAGTATAGATTAAAGCCAGATGAATAATTTATCTTACGAAAACCCAAAGTAAAATTAAATATAGAAAGTTAATCTAAACAAAATACTTTCGGTCCCGAATGGGCCTAATATTATTACTTATGAAATACACATCTGTCCAAATAATGCGAAATGACGATTAAAATTAGACGTCTGCTAGCTTCAAATATTTTACGAGAAATATATTGTCCAGCAGTATCTATAAACAATATACCAATATGTCGAAATGTTCACAATAAGAGAACCAGTTGCTCAACTGGTTGACCAATTTGTTGACTGAAGATTGCGTTGTTGCGGTTAGACGACAAGTTTTCCTAAATCGTTCACGATGGATTGAACATATAATATTAACTTGTATTTACTTTATGGGACCGATCTAATGGTTATCATTTATAAGCATCAAAACTATGTTAATAAATAAATAATAGCAAACATAGAAAAATTTATATATTTGGAAGAAAATAAAGATATTAATAATTTATAAAATGATTTTTAGTAAATATTGTAAAAAATCTTCACTTGGTCATTGTCATTTAATGATAATAATAATAATATTTAACTTGCATTCCACCTGATGAAAGAAGAGATGAAGCCACTTGTAATATTTTTCCATACTCTCGCTAAATATATATGAAACAGAAGTAAACGTATCGCTTCGTCCGGGATTGAACACATATACATTAATTCACAGACATCTATAAACCGTACAAGTAACACCAGCATACAAAATAAGACCCATTTTTTTAAGATACTGCTTAAAAGCAAAGAAGATGTTCCATCGTTGAGTAATTGCTTCTTTTTGCAATTTTTTTTCCAAAATGGCTTGGAGTCAATGCATCACCCTAACTTAAAGTTCTAGGACGACTCAATAACTAATCACTGAAACCGGTTAGTGTATTGCTATGAAATATTCTGAAGGGATCACCACCGCCCATTTAGGACACTACCTGAAGTAAAATAATTAACACGCTCAAATATGGCCTGTCTTCCAAAATTTATTTGACTACAGCTACATAGTTGAGATTTTTCTCCATAACAAAAACAAATGATAATAGCAGTTCCACAATTGAAATTTTAAAAATCTTGATTAACTTGCAATGCCTTATTTGTCACCCAATAATTAACTCGTTGCTAGATAGGATAGTTACAACGTAATTTTAAACATAAATTTTAAGAATATTACATGAACAATGACAAGGATAAATCTCTTTAAACGGGTTAATGATAAGTAAATGTCTCCAAAAAAAACTTTAAATTGCCTTCTCAAGTATGTAAGGCAATATCTACATATAAAAGAAAATTGCCACTATTATAGGAGTAGAAAAATACTAGTCTAAACGAATCCAATTCAGGATATCAATCACCTTTAGTTTATTTGAAAATCATATGAAGTACAAAGTACGTTCAAATATATTTTGAACAAAAAATTAAGAAGAATTGTAAACACCCAAGAACCCGCGTATTTGGTGGTACTTTATCTGCCATGCCTTTAATAGAAAAGAAAATAACAAAATATATAATATAAACACGAATGAAAGAGAAACTAATTAACATATTTGTTGTGGAAGAGTTGTTTCTGATGTAATTAAAATGGTATTTTATTAAACTCGGTGCTCACACATATTGTGCTGAAATAATGTTGAACTTTAAAAATATCAAAATGAATTTTGATTGTATTTATAAAAAAGATTAGTTTTTTAAGTGTTTATACTACAAAAACTAAATGAAAGTTATTGTAAACATAAAACCATCGTTGATAACATTTGAAGTGACCCGAATACATACAAAGTTTTAATCGGATCGTGAGGTCATTAAAAGTCGACAAACGCTTAGTTAAACGAAGTAATACTTTGTTAAAAGTGAAGCATATGTAAAAGTTGCATAAATTAGCTTTGTTTGGGAGAAAAGCAAAGACGAAAATTAATAAAATATCGTTCTAATTACGTTGTCTATAGGTATAATGTAACCTTTATTTGTTATAAAAAAAACTTAAGCAAGTTTGAATCCGTTCATTTACTGAAAATTTATATTTTAGGATGTAACACACTTTTTTATATGAATTGTTTTTTTATCACTTGCTAATTATATTGCTTGGAGTACCACTGCAAATATTATGATAACTGAAATGAAATTCAGAAAGCATAGGATTAAAAACTAAAATGCACCAAAAGTATTAGGGTATATAATATATGTATATAATGAGATCTAAGACTTTCCCGAGAATTCATTTAAATGAAATTAATATTCTAGGCGTAGTACATAATCCGAATGTATATGTTTCATTTATATATGTGTATATATATATAATAATATATTACTGTTACTTTTTATTTATGTAAACCAATACTTTATTTTATAAAAACGAACCAACGATAAAATTAATCGTTATTGTCGATCCCAATCAGATGAAAATAAAAATATTCTTGCTTTGTTGAATTATTACTATACAAGACATAAACAATTAAAATTATTTATAGCAAAATGTATGAGAATTTTGCTTCAGTAGTATTTTATTAAAGGTATTTCATGAAATTTTGTTTTATGGCTGCGTGAATTGCGTTAATTGGGTTTTTCGGGTACGTTTGGAAACAAATTGAAATCATCTTATAAGCAATCCGTACATAACCGTGTGAAAATACACCAATATATATTTAAATATATATCAACGAATAACAATATTAAAAAAAATTGGGAGTGTATTTATCCGATATATTATTTTTTCTTTCCACTGCTTGTTAAAATCGTAATTATAAGAGATGAAAATTAAAATTAATGTATATTAATGAACCTACGGATTTTATTTCATTTTAAAATTAATTATTCTCCATTTATAATAATTTTCAGTGTGAATCTTTAAGTAAATAAGATGTTTTTATTCATGTCTATAAAGTGATATTTAAAAATAGGTTTTTTCAGTTTAAAAAATAAAAAAATTTAAATAAATTGAATGTAAAACAATGACCTATATTATCAACTATTGGAACGCAAATTAAGAACATAAATTAAGATTTAAAAATAAATTTTAATTTTAAAAAGTAAAAGCAAATATTAATAAAACACAAAAAGGTTTCGCTTTTATTCCGCTTTTATTTCTTTTGTCATATACATAGTAATTTTTCATATTTTACAGTTTTCGTTATTACGATAATCACAGTATTGTTTCTTTTGATCCCATACAAGATTTACAGGACAATGGAACAGCTTCGCTACTAATTTATTACCAGCATCGTACAAGCAAAAGTAATAGGACGTACAGCTTTTTGGGTCGGCGTGATACCCCTCATCGGGGCAAACAAACTCGTCTAAAAAAATCGTAGAGTTATACTAAATTGGACATTTATAAAAAATATATATCTTTTTTTGGCTAAATACCTGATCCAGGTGGAGATACAGGAGTTCCAGGTACAGATTTATTCAAGGCCCTGTTTACAGCTCGCAACAATGGATAGTTGCCATCCGAACAAGTTCCGCGAAAATCATCAGTTTCTATAGACCAGATCATCGCACCTGATATGTTAAATTTTAGGGCATACTCTAATTTATTAGTCAAAGAATCAACGTCGTCAAAAGAAACCCAATTCTTTCCTTGTACCGCATAAGGCACTTTGGAGATATCGTCATAATAAATGTTCCAAAGCTCCCTTTCAAACTTTTCGCACAACTGAAACAATGTGGTTTGTTATTTTTATAATTTGTATGAATATCTTGAAGAAATTTTTAATTAAGGTACCTAATTACAAATAAATAAGGATATAGTGAGATAATCTAAATTAAAGTTTCTTTTTGTGATTCATGTATATACTTTTTTTAAAGTTTGAATTTGATGTGAAAAGTTAAAAACAGTAAAATACCGAGGTGTTCTACAAAACCTACTTCATTATATCCCAACAGTCCTTTCGTACTTGTGTAAGAACCTGCAATTCCAGGGCCAGTAGAAGAATCTCCGACATCAAAGTTTTCACGATCTGCTAACTCATAACTATGACCGTAAAATGGCAAACCTAACACCAACTTCTCTGGGGGACAACCTATTACATAATACAATGGGTTAAAGTAGAATCTTACAGTAAGAGTAACTTTTCAATTAATATAATATATGTTATAATCAGAGCTATCAAATATTTTATACCTTGCCCAATCCAATATTCTAAAATAACATCAATAGCTTGAAGATTATTCTTATTTCCATGTAAAGGAGCATTGTGACCAGTGGTGTTATCTGAAGGATTGTTTATATCATAAGCCATCAAATTCACAAAATCCAAATACCTAAAGAAAACAAAAAAGTGTTCATAATACTATTGAATTCATGGCATTGTAAATTATTTCACTTACTGACTGATTCCTTTTATGTCATAGGATGATGCAGCGGAGTTAGTTACAGCAGCAACGGCTGCACTCAATATGAGATCGTTTTTATCAAATTCCTCTCTCAACTCTTTTAGGAGTTGTACAAAGTTATCAATATCAGCTTCCCCATGGACGCTATCTCTAGCATTTGGGTACTCCCAATCTATATCAAGGCCATCAAAACCATAATTCTGAATTATTCTTATAGCGCTAGTAATGAAATTTTTCCGCAGTTTCGGATTTGAAGCCATCTGATAGAAAATTAATGCGTTAGTTATGATGGAACATATAATGACTAACGTATATCGTATAAAATTAACATCTAGTCACAAAGATATTTTGTTATACATATGTATTTTAATATAAGTATGTAAATATCTTACATTTGAATATTTCGCTGAACCTTCATTCCAACCACCGACAGCCAAAAGAGCCTTTAATTTCGGATTAGTCCTTTTGAGTGATGTAAATTTTCTCAAATTGTCTGATGAGATGAAAAAGATAATATAATAAAAAAAGATTTCGAAACACTCTTATAAGTTAGTAATCATTAAAACTCACCACGACCCCAGTTCTCAGGATAATCTAAATAGGCATCCAAAGAAACAACTGTACCTTTTGCATTTATACCCATAAATGCGTACACAATGTGCGTACATAGATTTGTATTTATGTCTGTCACATCAAATTTACCCAAGCTCGGTCTGTATGTAGCCCAGGTTCCATGGTAACAAATAACTACCTCTGTTTCATAAAAATATCGTTAAAATAATACTCAATGTATTAAGAAACTTCGGAGTAGTAAAAGTTTTACACTAATCAAGATCTTAATTAAACTTACTTTCTTTGGCTGTAGTATAACTGAATGATATTGCTAATAATGAAAATGCAATATATAAATTCATTTTGACAGAACAAACACACTTATTAATCAAACTCCAGAACTATGTTTTACTGTTTTCGTATCCTTTATATATGTACCCATGGTATCTTATCAGATTGTTAAGTGTTACAAAATTGAAATTATTTGATTTGGCTAAGTACTTATAGTTGTTATTTAAATCGACAGCTTTACCCTACATTCTAAATTATCAATTTTATAATATTTATCATTGAATTTTTTATTATTTTAAATAACATTACTAATGATAGCTCAACTTCAATCTAATATCAGTAAGCCGTATAAAACGATCCATTTTTCGTAATGCGTTTGAGTATTGTAAAAAGGTTTCGTTTTTATTTTGATTGTTGGTAGTTTTTATAACATCTTTAATTCAGTGCTAATTAAATAGTTGTAGAGACTTTTATTCGGCATAACGTATTGATTCTAGTTGAAAACTATAGATTGACGAAAAATGCGCTATTTGTAAGTAACCACTCAAATTATTTGTTTTATTTTAGTTGTTTTTGTAAAAGTAATTAAGTATAGATACTTCTATAATTTCAAGTGCATAATTGATTCACCGAAGTAAATTTGATAAGCTGAAGTATTGTTATCTGAAGGTTGGTGTTAAATGACGTTTGAACAAAAACGTCATACGGATTTCTGAATTTATCTAAGTATATGATAAACTAAATAGCTGTAAAACAAAACTCACTAAGAATAATTAATGTTAGACAGTACAGCTTTATTCAACACCATTACTTGTTTTAATTTACGTCTGCAAATTGTGCTTTTTCATGAGAGCGGAAGCATGGAGATTCCACAGATTTTTTTGTTTTAAATTACATCGAAAAAACATACTAAATGAGTTGCTTCTAATTTTTAATTTCTAATTTATTAATATGATTAGATAGCAGTTTTTTTAAGTATGTACATAATATTATCTAATTATTAATTAAGAGAGACCTAGTTATGAAATTAATAATAAATTATATATGAAAATTAACCTTAAACTGTCCTCCAATAAAAAATAAGCCTTGAAGAGTTTCTTAAAAATATTTGCTATTCTTTATACATATTTGTATTGGCAGTGGAAGCGTTCTACAATTATTTTATATGAATATGTAATGTTTGTAAATGTAAAAAACAGTTTTTTAAAGTGAAACTTCTTAGTTTGTAGTAGCTGAATGTTGCTAAGTTAAAGTTTTTAACGATAAAAATAATAGATATATTAGTGACACGAAAATGTGAGACGTTTTGTTCAAATGGAGGGAGAAGATTATGCTGCCATATTGAATTAGAATGAAGTCACATATTTAAACACTAATTATGATGGTTTGGATACATTGAACATGTGTATAAAATTTCAGCTATGATTCTTAAAAAATGTTCTGATTCAAAAGAAAAGAAATACATATATTGCAGACCAAATAAAAAAATTGCAAACGACATAAAAACGAGCAAAGCTATCATCGGGTTCAAGTCTCTTTCAGTAGCTGATTTTATTTTTGACACGACTTAATACCTTATAGGGATATTAACAAAAAAATAAAAATGTATCGATGGCATTTTTTCTCGCGTGCTTCAATGGGGCATGAATGTAAACGAGTATTAAGTAGGGTACGGCCGTACGCGTGTTTATTGATAATTTTATAAAACCCTTATAAAAATAACTGTACACCTATTTCCCTATGATCTTTTGCCATACATTGTATATTTGTAAGACAGTATTTTGAGAGTGCTTAGCATTATAGAGACATGTCATATTTTCAGGTTATTATGCAAAAGAATACATACAAATATAATATAAATTCAATCACACATATTAGTTAATCACTAAAAGTTGTGTTTCATTTCGTATAATTTATTTATTATTCATCATTTTCACTTAAAGAAAACATAATAAAATTATATTTTTATCTTTAAATTTAACGATATGCATGTCCTGATTGAAGTGCTAGTATATTCAATAACACTATATACATGACACTTTAAAACACATCGACAATACACGTTATAAATGTTGCAACAAAATTGCGAAACAGTATCAATTGAAATACAAAATAACATACAAATAAAGTGAGCAACCGGGTCAGACGGAAACTGCAATGGGACAATGGCGATGTCACTTCAGTTAATGTATTGCTTGTACTTTTAGTTCTTCCAGCTCACCTAGTACCACTACTTCGAATCTGGCCCGCTTGTTATGTTTGCGAATCAAACTTGGAGCTATTGTTTCCAGCTTAAGTATAACAAATGGTAGTCATTTCTGTGACTTTTGTTTTAATTTCTTTTTTCAACTACATAGAGATTGATTTTGTTTAATCTTTTATATCCAACACTTGTTGTCACCACGTATTAATAACGAACGAAGGCCTCACGTACATCCGTTCTGAGGGCGACTTAAGCCAAATCCCGGCTTATAACGTCCTCAAAAGGGTGAAAGTAACTCGAAAAATATTACGTCAAACGACGAGGTCGAAGTTTAAGGCAATATTATATTGCTCTTATATTTTGTTAGCCATTTATGATTGCTTAAACTTTACGGATATTTTATGCTATCGTAAGTAACATAGAAAAAGGTTGTTGATACTTAACAATTTTCGCTGTAGTGATTTTTGTAAGTCCTTATACTTTTATCAAAAACCCAAAGAACTATTGACATATACATATATTTATAATTTTGTAAAACTTTAAGGGTCTTACGGTTCTATTAAAGTTTCAGGATATAATGCGAAAATAAATAAAAGAAAAGGGCTTAACGGTTGTAAGAGAAATACTCTTTGACTTGTTATACCAGTCGTACTTATAATCCTAAGACATAATAACTCAATAATTAATTCAAAAACAATATTTTTGAGGAGAACACTTATATACTAAAATGTATTCAGAGGATTTTGAGTCACTTTTACTAAAATTCTATGTTTATTATATATATATATGTATATATATATATATATATATATATATATATATATATATATATATATACATATATATATAATAAACGTCAGGCAGGCGGCCGGTCGTAAAAACAAATAGCCAAAACTATTCACAACATGTTAGGCAGACCCTGGCTATAGCTGGGAAAAATTGCCAGGTAGAAGAAGAAGAAGATATATATATATATATATATATATATATATATATATATATATATATATATATATATATATATATATATATCCTTTAGTTATAATGTGTTTGCATCTAAGTAAATAATGTACATTGTATATAAATATGCCTTTACTTGTGGTTTACAAAAACTTGTAATTTGAAGGCATCTCTATAAAATATAATATTATTTATGACGACGGCTTATATCAGGTTCATTATCCGATAAAGATTTATTTACGTAAAATTCTTTACGTTCCGCTATTCTCTAGACTCTACGATAATGATCGAATGGTCTTTTAAAGTGTTCAAATTCTCGTAAAATTTTATTTCTCAAAACATATTTGTACAGGATTAAGTCCCGGGTGTATAATTTGTAACACGGCAAAACAATGTTAATCGAATAAAATTAGTATTGAAGAAAATTAATTAAACTTTTTAAAATGAGAATTTTGTAAAATTTCAACACATCTTTTATGATAACGGACGCATTGAGACTTTCATCTTTCATTTATGAAATATAAAAAGGCTGTCCAAATAATGCGAAATGAGGATTCGAATAAGACATCTGGTTCCTTCTTATTATTCTGGCAGGAGGGACACAGATTGCGTGAGGGCCCTCAAATATTTTACGAGAGATATATTGTTCGGTAGTGTCTCTAAACAATGTACCAGTATGTCGAAATGTTCCAAATAAGACTACCAGTTGCTAAACTAGTTGAGCAATCTCAAATATTTCTAACTATAAACATTGACAGTCATGTGTTTAGATGATGGGGACTTTAAGAAAGCCACGAAGGCAACAATATTAAATAAATATTTACCTACATTTAAATGATACTATATTTTTCGGATTACCACGCTTATTTTGTTATCTTAAAACTACATACTCCCGCCTTTCCGACGAGACGAGATGTTGTAATCTGAACAATATTAGTTTCATTTAAATGAATACTCGCGAAAGTCTTCGATCTCATTACTTATCTATATAGATTTTATCCCACTTTTTTTTAGTTTCGACTTGAGGATAGCTGTTAGCCCTAATGGCTTTGACAGCGTTACCGGGAGGAGCTTTATTCGACGGCTTCAGAGTCTCGACAGTTCATGGAAATTAAAAGAAAATCCTAATTTATGCTACGTTTTTACATAATAATGACGCGAAGTCTATTATGAACACAAGATTAGCAGCTCATTCGACGTTCATTGTTATTATAATAATTTGTCTCAATAATTTTAACACATACTCCTTAACAAAGAAACTGAACTCGTTGGGCAACAAATCTGGCCTTTTATTACATAAAATCGCAACGTTTCATAAAGTAGCGGTTAAAGATCCATTATCTCATAATAATATCAGGATTGTTAATTTAAAGGCAGTTAATGTTCTTGGACCTTTTTCGAGAGGGTAGGTATGATAAATGAACTTTTTTGACCACAACTACGGGAGTTATACTTAAGGAAATAATTTTATTACAGAATGTATTTCTTATTATATACTTTTCATATACATCTATCTTTGTTTGTAACAATTATCTAGGTGTTATATCCGTCACAAAAATATAAATAAATAATCCTAATTAATTTATTATACAAAGAAAAAGTAATTAATCTAAAATAGAACAACTATCAAAACCTTA